AAACAAATTAAGTTTAAATATTGTATAGGATATTTGTTCGTTTCAAAATAATTATGAAGAATTTTTAAACATATTAAAAACGCCAGCAATTTTTTTTTTTTTTTTTTTTTTTTTTTTTTTTTTTTTTTTTTTTTTTTTTTTTTTTTTTTTTTTTTTTTTTGGTTCATCGCTCTCTAATCAAAATCTAAAGTCTGCGTCTATGATAACAATTATAACAAGACTTCGAAGAACACGAAATCAATGTTATTATCAGTAGCGTGCCCGCCAAAATGGTTTATCAAATCACTAGAAATAAATATAATCCATAAGAAAAATGTTATTATTCCAATATTCCTAGAATAGAATAATTATTATGGTTTCAAAGTATTGCTTGTTTTTATAAAATCAACCGAGATAACCTAAACACAGATAAACAGCTAATCAATTCATTATAGTGAAAAAGATAAAAGAAATTTTCCATCTGCCCCAGAATTTTGGCCCGTTCCTACGAAATCAGAAACGTATTTTATTAATTAATATTATTTTCCAAGAATGAGTTATTAAAGTTTTTTCTTTGCAGCTATGAATCTTGAAAAAGGGAAGAGTTTTTAATAATGATTATTACAGTACTATTTTAGAACAAATTATAAATACAGCACTAGCGAATCCAGGATTTAATTTTGGGGGTGGCTTCAGCCCGAAAGATTTTTTTTTCATAAACATTTATAAAAATAATTTGAAAAAAAAGAAAGAAATTAATTACCTACATGAAATGGTGTTTAAGTGGTTCCTGAAGTCCTATTAGATTTAATTACAGGAACAAGAATACTTTAAGAGATAGTATTTAATATTTTTTTCTGTAAAACATGGTTATATTTTACCATTTTGGGTATATAATATACATATAATCTACAGGAGACTTTTTGGGCTGAAGCCTCCCCCAGTAGATCCGCCTGTGAAATACAGGATATAAAAAACACAGAAACCTGAGTAGAATTTAGAGCTCCGTAATGGACTCGTTCTAATGGGGATAGTTCTGGATATGTTAATTTGTGTCTGATTTTCCAATCCGAGTATACTTAGGCGTTATTATTATTAGATGTCGTTCATGCACGAGATATTTTGTGATGAGTTCTGTGAGATTAATTCTAGAGAGGAAACAAGCTAAAAGATGCTTTCGTATAATCCAGTGCTTTGCCTCTTTAAGGATGGCCATTTTGCGTTTTTCGTGAGCTCGGTTAGTGTCTTCTGTTCCAGTATTTAACATAAGCGGATCTACGGCGGGGGGAAGAGCTTTCGTACTGAAGCCCCCAAATGGTAAAATATACCCATGTCTTATGAAAAAAAAAAAAATATCTCTAAAAGTATAAGCATCTTTACGGGTTTTATTTATTGTACTTTGTATTATACTTTTGCATTTCCGTTCACTTCCGATAAAGCTCTAGCTAGCTGTAGTTGTAATTTATCTAACAAGAGCAAATGGAACTGAGGCTAGAATTAATTATTCCGCTAGTGGTGTATGACGATCTAAGGAAAGATGAAAAGAAATTTTTATTTTTATTTTTATTATTATTTATATGATATTTACAACTGTATAAAAAAAATACATCTAGTAAATTCGTACATGGATATAATGACATGAAACACATGTTGAGAAACTACCCATTGGTAGCACTTTAATAATATGTCTATATCAGGAGATCACGGGGACATCTTCTTTTCGGACGCCTCAAAGGGTTATCAGGAATTGAATAGAAAGCAAGGTTAGAAACAAGAGGATTAGGATGGTTATGAAGTTTATTACGGATTGGGCCAAATGTGACACATAAGGAACATTAAGGTCATTGTGGGTGATTTTATTTGTAACAAAGTAAGGAGCATTGAGGATTTTACGAAGTATTTTGGATTGTAAGGATTGGATACGAGAGGAATTCGATGGTTAAGTGGAGCCCCATAGCTCCGTAAGTCCAAATAGGCCTTATTATAGTCATTTATATGAGTCTTTTGTAATTAATTGGAAGGTTAGAGCGTTTGTCTAGTAAGAGTTGAAGTAGTCAGAAATGTCGAGCGGTTTCTTTTCGTTTGGTGTGAGGATTTCAAGTTGTCCAGGTGTAGTTCTAGGTAACGGATTTGTTCAACAGGAATAAGTGAGGTGTTGTTAAAGGACGCTGAAGGACAGGAAGTCATTGGTTTACGACGAGATAAAAAGAAATGAATCAAAAATTAGAAAGCAGATAAGACTTTTCAAAGGCATTATGGATTTATTATATTTTTGTCTCTGACTTGAGGCGTTCCTAGCCTTTGGCACCTCTGCCCACGCGATAGCCCTGAGTTTGACTACCTATGTATTATTTTACTATACTATCTTACCTACATATCATTATTACTGTCCACAGTTTTTCAATATATATATGTTATCTGATCGTTGCTTAGCACTAAAAAACAGCCTGAAACGTCGGCAAAAAAAAAAATTATTTTTACTTTGACTAAAAATTCCTATGCAATCAATCTCTTCAACAACATGTAGATTAATCAATTGTAGCCATGTTCTAAGATCTTTGAGAGCAACTAGTCAAACCTGTTAAATGACATATTTACTGTTTCTATTCCATAGTTAAATATTTAAAGTTATCTCTAAGAAAAGGGCATATCTTCTAGGGGGAGTGTCATTTCTAATTTTAGAATGCCATAATAGGTTTCCCGCTGAGTGGAGCTATGGAATAATTCAAAACATGGAGGAACTAAACTGTCTGCGGTCGGTCCAAAACAACAATAACGAAGAAGGATCAGTATGGGCGGCGGGTAGCCGCTGGCCTTGTGCCCCTTCCATCGTCCTCTCTTCTCTGCCGTCATCGCACCTCGAGGACCCGTCTGGTCCCCCAGGTCTCCATCTTGATCTATCGACCTGCCGGTGGCTCAAAACTGAACTTAAGTCAGGACAGGTTGGTTCAAGTATTGTTGATTTGGAATCAGCGTTTGTAGGCTATCGGTACATCTGAAGTACACTGTCGTTTAAAACATTTTAAGCAGGAGTGGCCAAAAGGGGGTTTTGAATTTTTGAGGAGGGCACATTTTGAAGGGTTTCATAAATTTTCGGATGAAAAGTTTCTAACCAGGAGACAAGGAAGTATATCAGTTCACAGAAAGTGTAATTTTATATAATCTACGAATTTTTAAATTCTACTTTTTTAGAAGAGGAGAGCAATAAAATATCTTAGGAAGGGAAGGAAAGGTTTCATGCACCATCAACTTTGGGGGGTGGGTACCACTGATTTCAAGTAAAAACCTTTTACAGGAGAACAAGAAGAAATTTCAGATCACATTAAATTGCTTATTGAGTAATGTGGTCAACCTTCATATTTGAAGTGTTGTATATTTGATTACTCTTTTAGCTTATTTATGATACTTGTACGCGCCAAAAGTTCCAAAATAGTCAAAACCATAATTCAAAATTAGACTTATGATAATTTACATAAATATTCGGTTATAAATTTTCAAAATTAAAAGACAAATGAAAGCATGGAAAAGACTCCAGGATTTTTAATTGTATATAATCTACGAATTTTTAAATTATACTTTTCTTTTCACTGTTTTTAAGAAGAGGACAGCAATAAAATATCTTGGGAAGGGTGGGGGAAGGTTCATTCGCCATTGACCTTGGGGGGATGGTTGACACCCCTGCTGTAGATCGCTTGTGCTGGTGTGTTCTAAAATAAACCTTCCTTTCTTCTCTCCAGTAAAAACAACCTAATGACTGAGTTTAAAATATACCTGCAAACAGCAATGCTCGTGAATAACTTGAGACCATGTCATCTAAGATATCTTAAGCCAGATGCGGGTTTCATTATGGCCTTGGTAGGTTGAATTTATTTTATGCTGTGCCCAAGGAATGTATGTCGACTTTTCTACTCTAGCTGAAATAAGTTAGTTACCTGTAGGATACCAAACTCCGCTACCTAATACCAAAACAGGAGAACGAGTAATCCTCATGGAGAGAAAAAATAATGAATAAAAATATTGCAACTTTCAGAGAGGTAATGCTTTACAAGAAATCACTGAAAGAAATTAAATAATCAAGAATAGAATAAATAATAAAAAAGTTCAAATTTGCTTTATTTTCAGTAACTTAATTATATAAATTAATTCATGTTCTAGTTCAAGCAAACAGTTCAATCCATCAAGCAATTTCTTTCTCAATCTCACTCTCTCTCCAACAAAAAATAAATATTAATACTTAATCAAAAATACTTCCTTTTAACTATTTCTTTTGTTTTTTAATGTTGTGAATAATATCGATAACTTCACAGGAGCATTATATTTGATCCACTTTGGTTTAAATTTCTACTACATTGTTATGGGAAAAACTGAAATATTTTTTTCATAATTGAAATGTTAGTTTTATATCAAAAAATCATATCATGTATTCTTGCTGTGACACTCTACAATAAAAACCAAATATAATAAGAAGTAGCAAAATAATATCAAGCTTCCTGATAATATATGGATTATGCCTTAGGGTGGTTCAACAGGAGCAATAGTCCCAGGGGGCTAATCCAAGGAGGCACACATTGGCGGCGCCGAACGTCAGGAAAACTCGCCATTTGTTAGAAATTTAAACAAAAACAATACAAAACGTATTAAAATAAATAAATTCAGCCTATTAATATAGTAACTGTATTAGAGAAATGTTAAAGGAAACAAAATTAAAATACTACATAGTATAAAATAGCTTAAACAATAAATTTAATTTTTGGGGGGAGAAGAGAGATGTCGTCATAGCCTGGGGGAGCACCGAATGTCTAAGACAGGCACTGAATTGTGTTATCCAACATAAACTGTTCTTTAGCCATGGTGGAATTCCGGTTTAAAAGTAGTTCAATAACTGTGAGTCATATATGAAATATTATGATGGGATTGACAAAATTATAATTTTTTTACTAGATAAGGTTACATTTTCAGATTGATTTCTGTAGAAAAAGTACAGGAAAAAAGGTGGTGAATGTTAAAAATAATAATAAAAATTGTGGTGAAATAAAATTAGACATTTTATTATGCATTTTTTTTATTAAAAAGGAAAAATGTGATATGTACACTGATCTTAGAAAAAGTATCAAAATTAAAATAAATTAAACCTAACAATTTCAAGGTTATTAGCCCTTGATAGCTATGTTGGCGTAGCTAGGCTGGACTGGTGGATGGTGGGTCACCTTTGCCCCATGAGTCTGATTGGCAGCAAAAGAAGGATGTTCTATTACGGGGCCGTATGCAGGTTGTGCGGGCAATACGCCTTGAACTGGGTGAGCAGGCAACGAGCTCAGAACAGGTTTTACAGGAGCAGATTGTGTTGTACTATAGTCTCTGAAACATGTACCACTCGAATTAAATGCCATGTAATTTATATATTATAAACCAAGATAATCTTAAATTTAGATGAATAATTAAAATTAAATTTATAGCCAGAGGTTACCAAGCTCGTTATACATGGTATTGCTGATTTTAAGTTAGAAAAAAAAAAAAAAAGAGGAATAAATTAATAGCACTATTAGTACAAGAACTCTAAGCAACTGTTCAACTTATGCGATGTTAGATACAATGTTATTTAATAAAAGATGGCCCTCTATAGGATCATAAAAAAAATAAATGGTTAAGAATTTTATACAAACATATGTACTTTTAAAACAAATAGCTACTAAATTTTAAATTTAAATTACTCACATCTTTCATGCATGTAAGTTATAAGAAAAATTTTGAGAATAGAAATTTTAAAGTTTATGAGTATGAGTTAATTGAAAACTAGAACAAAAAAGAAATATTAGTTTTAAATTTGTTGAAAGCATATATTTTTACAATTTAATATTTAATAAAACAAAATAATTATACACTGTGTAGTAAAAAAAAAATTACATTATAATCTCTTTTATCATTGAAACATTTTTTAATTTATATCCATTCACAATTATCCTGCAGACAGCAGCATTACATTTTATTTGTATTGTCTTTGTCTATGATAGAGATGTTTGAGTTTATTCATTATATATTCAACATTTCAATGGTAAAGAAATGTGATCTACTTATGCCATGAATAAATGAAAGGTAAGGAGGCAATAAAGCATAGTATTTATAACCTTTAGTACTTTTAATAGAATTTAGCCAAAAGTTTAAAAGCATTTTGATAGCAGTTAGTCACAAATCGAAAAACCTTACCTACAGGTTAAGTTTGGCCGCCGTTGTTATCGGGAATTTCCTTCCATCACAGATACCCCTAGAGTCATCGAGACCCAAATCTAAGACAGCAACACCACCAAGACCTCTCGATTTTGCATAAATAGCCTTTGCAGCGGCAGTCTCTGGTTCTTCATATCCAACCCATAAGCCTTCATCTATTTTCTTGTCCGGCAGCCTAAAACCATAGACTCCCATTTTCTTCTCTGGATCAACCACTCTCCTCAGAGTTCCTAGAACCATCATTCATATTTGGATAAAACATCCTAATTAAATAATTAATATTGTTTATCAAAAAAACTTGCTAAGTTTTATTCTCCTATACAGATATAAATAAAAAATTTAGTTATTCATAGTAAAGATCGAAAGAAGCAAAAAAATGTAATAATTTATTTTTAAGCAATCAATGTATTAAATTAATATTCATGCTAGGAATTACCTGCTGGTGCTTTAGGATCGTTTGGACTGACAAGTTTAGTGCAGAGTTCATAGTATGCAAGAAGTCCTAAAAAAAAAATCCCTTGTTAGATCTTAAATGTATTTTTTTCATCAAAATAAAATACATAACTACAAAGCTTAGACAAGCCCCAATTTTGTCCACGATACCACTTTGCCACTGCTCACCTATGAACTATTCATCATTTAATTCTACTGAATAAAGTACTTGCTTAAGAATAAAGATGAAATATTTAAACGTATGTTACAATATTGAAAAACATCAGTAGATTTTTTCGAGGAAAATTTCTCACCATTTTACTACAAAAATCATAAAGTTATACCATTATTTATAGTTAAATAATACTATAAATCATTACACTAAGAGAGCAAAAGGTTCTTGATTTTTTTTAGAATGGAGAATTGCATAAAATATTTGTTTAAATATTACAATAGCCAATATGAAAAATTTGGTTAAAATTGCATATATAGATGTAATAAAAACAGAGGTACTTCCAAATTAGATGAAATGTTTCAACTGTTATTATAATACCAACATTATAAAGACAAAGCTCTAATTGAACATGATAAGGATTCTTGTTTTTTAATTAGAATTTCATGGGCAGGTTTTCTCTGCTGATATCAAGCCTTCAGGAATTCAATGAATGTACATACTATATAGAAATTTTGAATAAAATAAATACATGCCTTCTTTCTTTGTATGAGGTCCTTTCTCGCCAGGTCCATCTGCAATAATTGGAGGGGCACCTGATTTACCAGAATCTTCATTCAGCTTCCATGTCCTTCCCCAAGTGGCAATTCCCAAATTCAATTTATGTGCTTAAAAAAAAAAAATAGACTATCAAGACATGTTTTATCGTCAACTATACTATATTAAGTACAAAATAGAAATATTCCATTTATTGACTATAATGATAATGTAATATTAGTATAGTATATATAAAGATTTTGAAACTTCTAAACCAAAACTTACGTTCAGCACCATTATCCAACCAATACTTAACAATTGCATCAACATTTTGATGTGGTAGTCTTGGATACAGGTATCCTAAAGGATGAACATAATCAGCTTTCTCAGGTGACCTTTCTGGGGTTCTGAAATCCACAGTCCATAAGTTTACCATGTCGACATGGGGCATAAGAGATCTTACATCCATATAAGCTGAAATATAAGTATGATTCATTAATTTAGGACAGAATTAGTTCAGTAAACATCATTAATCAATTAATCTAACCAGCTTATTTTTTAAAGCCAATAACTGATGACTAAAGGATTATTTTAATTACAATTATTAGTGGTTTGTAGATTCAATTGATTAACATACTTACAATTTTAAAATGTAAACAAATTGTAGCTTACAATTTTTAAAACAGAACCAATTACCATAACCATAAGCTTCATATTTGTAACAAAAATATAATTATTATATTGTAATATAGTTTATTTTATTTAAAACAAACCAAATATCGTATGTTAAAAGATATTGAAAAAATAACTACTTTTGTTGCGAATCCTTTTTTTTTTTTTCATTCTTAATCAATAGCTTACTTTACAACAAAATCTTTATGTAAACAGGATAATTCAAATTATTAACTTACTTGTTGAATTGACGTGAGGAAGAAGACCAACGGATAGAACTTTGTTTTCTGGCCTCAAATTAGCTTTCAGTTCTCTGCACAAATTCACAAATTGATCTCTATGCTCCTTTGCCTTTGAGTCAGTTCCAGCTCCAAAAGTCTTTGTGATTTTATGGAAAATAGATCCTTAAAAAAAAAAAAGTAAATCATCAGTTTAATAATGACTAACTAGAAATAAAAATGCCTATAACTAGTAATTTATCAATGAATTACTTATGTGTTAATGAACTAATTTTTTATCAGTAACAGTACGGCTCTTACCGATAGATGTCTTTTCATATTTTTCATGCTGTGGAGGGAATTGCCAGGCAAGATCAATACCATCAAAACCATATTCTCGAAGAAGACTGACTACAGAGTTTATGAATTTAGTTCGTCTTTCTGGTTTTTCAAGCTAAAAAAATTATAAAAATTTATTTAGATATAGTGCAAATCTCATTTTATTAAAAAAAATAAATAAAATGTATTACTTTCATTATACTACACTATAATTATTATATTATATTTTTAAAAAATGCTACCTAGTTCAAATCTATTAATACAGGATCGAAACCAGCCAACCTATTGGTATTAAATAAATCTATAACCAGATATTTAAAAAAAAAAAATTATATTGGGAAACCAGTGGGAAATTATATTGGGACAAAATAAACAATTTCCTTCCTCCAAAATTTCATGTGTTTTTTTATAACCTGAATTAAGGTAATCTGAAACTTACTCTTACAAAGTTAATTGTTTTACATAAAATACATCAGTTATTTTTTATACATAATTACTTAATAATACGTATATTAGCATATCGTCCCTCTGACAGCAGACTGTGGGAAATAAAAACAGCAATGCCGTGAAAAATGATGCATCAACAAAATATTAATAATAATTATCAGATGACCTCAAAATGACTAATAAATCATGGAAAAGTTTCAGTAGTCGATAGATTAATTTATGACATGCCAAAATAATAATATTTACTGTGAGAATATATGTTTAGAATACATCTCCTGGCAGTTATTACTATTCATTTTGGTTAAATTAAATTACAACATGTTATAAGAAATAAAAAAAAGATTATTAAAAATGTTTTTATTTCAAAATAGGAATGAAAATTTAGTAATTGATAATTATTTAACATATTTTTTTTCAATATGAGCAGATTATGAATAATGTGGTATATATTACATCACTGATGTTAGTGCAAAAGGTTTTATGTAAAAATTGAGTTTTTTTATAGAAGAGCCATAAAAACTGATTATTTCTTTACGATTTATTAGTAAAATTTCATATTTTATTTCCCTATGCTATTTTCCATAGTATCTGACTACTTATCACAGTTGCGGACTACAAAATGTCACTTTTAGTACAAATAGAATAAACATAGAAAATGTTTACATGCACTAACACTAGGAACATATTGATTAGTATGTTTTTTACCACTTCAAAGTATTTATCCTCATCCTCCTTGTCATTAAAGCCTCCTACAGACAAAAGGATAGAAAGACCAGGCTGTGATCTCTTCAGGCCAGCTACAGCTTTCCATTGACCCTTACCTGCAAACATGTAACCAAATTAACAAATATATATATATATATATATACCAGGAATATGAATTTATTTGATTGTTCAAGAGGAAATACATCCTCACTGGGCCCTAAAATGAAGATGGATCTGAGATCTTCTAATACTGTTACTGTGGAAATTGGTTTATTATAAGCAATAAAAATAAAATAAAATTGGTATGGTGATGTAGCTAAGTCAGTTGCGGGGGTGCCCACAAGGGAGTTTTATGACGCAATCTGTGTCATCAAAATTTTTGCTGGAGGCACATTTTGATGAGGTTTTGAATTTTTGAGGGGACACATTTCCACCAGGTTATGAATTTTCAAAATGAAAAGTTTCAAACTAGGGGACAAGAGGAAAGCATCGAAAAGACCACTGAAAGTGTAATTGTATGTGACCAGTGATTTTTAAAATTCTACTTTAGCTTGAACTGTTTCTAAGAAGAGGAGAACAATAAAATGTCTTGAGAGGAGGAGGGAGGTTCATGCATCATCAGCTTTGGGGGATGCACACTCCTGGTCAGCTGGGACAAACTTCAAGATTGTCTCCATCTTTTTTCAGATAATCTGGTCACAGTTTTCTATTTCGTGTTTCACTCGAACATAAAGCACCCTTAAAACTATTTATTTTTTGTTAGAAAAATAATTTATTAAAAATTATTATTTTTTTTTACATTTAGTATCCTCAGTAAGCAGTGACCGACCGATGACCCTTTTTCCAAACTGACGATTCTATAATGGATTTAAACATTTTAGATTAACTATATGAATAATAGCTTTGATTTCATTCCTCGAATATTTTAGTATATTAATTTAATTCTGCAATCCGTTTTTAATATACTAATGCTGAATTAAAATTTAAACATTTAAACATAAGTTTATTTGGTGAAAGTCTCGCATCAACATCGCATTTTAAACAACCAAAATACATATTAGTAATATGTACATATTAAATTTGAGCTAATATGAATTTAATTTAAGTGAAACAAGAGAAGTAAATAAAATTCAATATATATTCTGAAATATGTGTGGATACGTTGTGAATAAGTTTGTTCAATATTGTGGGAAGTTGTGAACTGTACCGTGAATATAAGTCTGTGCAAGGAAAACCTTTCATCATGTTTTATCAAATTAATAATTGAAAAAATAAATAATAATATTTATAAACGTTATTAACTATTTTATATTGGTATTGTAAATAAAAATACTATTTCAAACAGCCCATAAATAACGTGTCTCAGCCTAACCAACTCGTTTACCTTGACCGCTTCGGAACAAGGGTCACCAGCTGAATTGTGGCTTCGCTGAGGTTAAATCGGTTAAGGCAGTTAATGTTTCATTATCGTTATTATCAGGTCTTACCTTTATCTAAATCTAGTTTCTTGTCGATAGGTTCAACGTGGTAATCATCATCGTCAATCGCCGCAAAGCCGTAGATCAAGTGTGTACAAAGAGGAGTTCCTGCTTTGATCTCTTCCACGGTAACTTTGGCTGTGCCTAAGAATAAAAAAATACTCCATCAATTTAACAATAAACGAGTGCTTTTTATATCATGCGATATGAATCAATGGCCATGTTTTTAGTTCTAATAAATATAAGTTATGTAAAGCTTTAATATCTATTAATCTATTAAATCCAATCAACTATAACGTTAATATACATGGAACCATGAAACTGCATCTATTATAAATCGATTTCCTCATACGGTTACTTCATAATTGACATTTATCCCAATTGTTTTTAGATATGGTGACCTTACTATCTGGTATGAGGACTTCAATCAGCTTGAAAAAAAATAAAAACAATACGACAAAAAAAGTTCAGGCTACCGAAACATTTGAATTTTTGTCAAACATGTACTTGTATAACTTTTAAAAATTTAATTTATACAGAAAAAAAGCATTAATCTTCAAAATATATATTCGTAAATCTACATTGAAACTATAATCGTAATAGCGTCAGGATGTATTCACCATTTAAGATAAATCGTTCATTTATATATTTATTACGAATATCACAAAGGAGATGCATTTTAGCATGTCATTTGTATTGAATAGAGAAAAGGTATTTAAAAATAACAATAAGTATTGTTAAATTTTTTTTAATTATGTAGTTTTGCCATCGATTCCATATTTCAAAATGTCTAGTAACTGTATTTGTTTGGTTTATGAAAATCATAGTATCATAAATCATAGTAAACTCTAATAATAGTAACTCTTATTAGTAAATCGCAATTCGGTATAATTTAATCAATGATAATTAATAACAATTTCTTTGAAAATACTTAGCAAGCGATTTATTTATAATTATAGTTATTCATAATTAAAATATAAAATGAAGTGTGTCCTAAAATCTAAAATAATGGTTTTAGACAGGGAAATTTATTTTTCATTAATTATATTTTTATTGTTCATTATTTATAAGTTTAAAATCTTCCGGAATACTACAATGATAACCAATTTTGGTAAAAAAAAAACAAAAAAAAACTATTATAATTTATCAACTCGCCCTTGTGTATTGAGCAAGGACAATCAACTATTCACGATGACCGTCCATTATTTATATAAATAAATAGATAAAACACCTTAATTAACATAAGCTGAGGTAATTATTTATCTCTTCTGAGTTCGTCTCCTTACAGAGAGACCAGGCTGTCCTTCCTTCCTACAAGGATAAACGAAGCGATAGAAATAAGATATGATTCATCCCTGTCTTACGATCATTTATTAGATCTTATAACGATATAAGGTGTGTATATTTATATCTATTCATAACCATATCTTCAGGCGCAGTCGTTCCATTATGGTTGTGGAACGATGTACCTCACAAAAAAACTCGTGAGAGTTTATGTTATACAGGATGTTTTAGGGTTAAATGGCCAAACTGCAAAAATGAACTAAGGACTTCGAAACAAGAAAAATATTTCCAGTGAAGGTATGTCCACAAACGCTTTGTTTAGGGGATATTTACACCTAAAGATTTTCGTTGTTATGAATTATTTACGTAATATAAAATAAATGAAACCTATTTATTTGTTCTAACTACTTTATTAATTAAATGTAAACATTAAGATTCATATTAAATGTGATTCAAAGTGAAGATATGTCAGCAAACGCTTTTTTTAGGAGATGGAATAGATAGAATACTAATATGGCATTTTATCCCTAACTGTATAAAAACTATTGGCAACATAAGGATTACTACTATTTGGAATTAGCATTGGGAACTCTCAACAACATTTATCAGTTTGTAATAGGCTTTCGCAGAGTACTCATCATTATGGCTTCCATTTATACTAATGATGAATATGCCGATATGGTGTTTGTTTAAGGTTTTTGCAATGGTAATGCTACATATTTCCACTAACTGCATTATGCCATGTTCATAGAATGTCTGCAGTTTATTGTTAAAAAACTGACCAAGTTGACATTGATGTTCTCTTCCTTTTGGAATTTTTTTCAATTCATGGAGTTCTGCAGAGACCGGAATAAATGGTAGTCACTTGGAGTGGTAGTCACTAAATCTGGTGAATAGGGAGGGTGGGGCCTAGCTTAATCTTGGTGGAACACAACATCCTTCCGATCATTCAGAACTCTTCAGGATGTTCTCCAAATTCGATGTTAATATATCCGTTGGAAAGCTGAATTATTGCTCTTCAAAGCCGTATGAATGGTTGATTTAATGCCTATATAAGGAATAAATAAACAAAAACTCCTTATAGGTTTTTATTTTTTATCTCCATTTGTAGTTTGTTTGCGAAGGTCATATTGCCATTTTGTGTAGTTTATGTGGCCCTAAATTCGTGCTAAATTTCTTGGAGATAGCTAAAGTCTTATTGAAGTTATAACATTTTTTTGTGATTTTGGAAAAAAAAATCATGTGAGGGACCCGAACATAGTCTGGAAACATAGCCGAGCTTGTGCAAACGGTTTTCTATGCTTCTGTAGGACACATTTAGGACTATAGCAATCTCTTGCACTGATTAAGTGGGATTTTGATCAACAATGGCCTTAACATTGCTCGTTTCAATTTCATGTGGGCTACCAGACCGTTGAGCATCATTGATGTCAAAATTACCTGAATGAAATTTGGCAAACCAATTTTGACAGGTGCGTTCGGTTAAGGCATCATCCCCATAAACACTGTATCTTTTTTTCTGAGCTTCTGCAGCACGCTTGCCTTTTTTAAAATAATACAACAATAAGTGCAATAACAAAAACAATACTAAGCTAGTTTCACCAAGAGTCAACAGATATAGTTGTTGACATATTACAAACAGGTTAAACAATCTACTTCAGGGATTAATTAATCAGATAAGAAGTGTATCATAGTGACATACAAATAAATAGAAAAACCGAAAAGACTTATTTGCCAACCCAATATTATTTGTAAATTTTTCAAAAAAGACGAGAAAACATTTGAAAAATATCAGGTTGGTAACCCCATATCCACGGATACTAATATTGCCGTAAACGTAAGCTGAAACCGTAAACCAATGGTTTACAAAAAAATGTTTTCAAGGAAGACATAAAGCCAATAAATCGTAAAAAAAATTAAATAATAATAAAATAGCTATTGACACTTACATAAACATGACTATGTATAATATCCATCAATATGGGCCTATGTTGTCTGTTAAAAAGTAAATTAATTTTCCAATGATATCATGCAGGCCCTTAAACAAAAATCCGCGAACCACACGTTGGAAAACTTTGCTATTGGCTGTTTAACAGTAATTGTGAAAATTATTTATATATATTTAGTTCAAAATTTGAAAAAACAAAACAAATATTTCTCAATGAATTGCAAGCCTGTAGCTTTGTTAATTTTACCAAATTAGAGCTAAATAAACCATTGAATGAGTGTGTTGTCAAATGAAATTCTTGATTTTTTTACTATCTTGAACTTAGTTACCTTTAGTAATATTCGGAATTATTCAAAAAAATATCTGATAAGCAATCCATATCTAATAAATTTCATCTCGCCTCGTTAGATACTATTTTCTTCAAGGCCTAAAGTTCTTTTCTGCTAAGTTCGAATTCAGTCATAATTTAAAATGTAAGGGAACACAACAACTAATTTAAAAAAAAAAATTAGTTTACAGATCTTTTAGCCTATCTTACATTGAGTTTTTTCTGTTCCAACCATAAAAAAAAAAAAATTACTTATCACTAACTACATTTAAAGTCAAGCCATTTTCCTCGTCAAAAGTTATAGAACGAAAAATAATTACAATGATTAAAAGTTTGTTCATACTTGTGAAAGCACGCCATCATTTTTAATGGCTGCTTTAAAAACAAGCAGAGGTTTTTGCATATTATATTATGTTATATTATTTTATATTATATCATATTAAAGTATAAAATCCCTATAGGATTTCAGAATATACGGTAAAAAATAAAGAGAAAACTATTATGTTGTAAACAAGTATCCTTAAAAATTAATTATATATCACCTTTATCAATGGACCGTCAACAGCCCTGTACGTACATTGATGCGATGTTTTAAAGAGGGAAAGCTGAATAATTTTTGGTGAAATTAAATCTATATAAAATAGATGATCGATTAAACCAGCGGATTTACTTCCTTAATCAGCTAAAGTTGTGAAAGTATAATAATAAGTATTAAAATTTGTAGTCCATTTGATTTGTGTGTTTTAAGTCTGAAAATATTATTTCTTGCAAAAATTCATAGTTTATTGACAATTTTTCAAAAAACGTATGAATTATTCTCGATTAAACCTAAACAAGGACTATTATTTATGAAAAAAAAAAAAAAAAAAAAAAAATATATATATATATATATATATATATATATATATATATATATATATATATATATATATATATATAAAAGAGATATAAGCACATGATTTTTAAAAATAAATATTTGGCAGTCGAAAAATTAGAATGTAGAAAATTTTGTCGAGAAATTATTTAATTATATCAATGAAAATTTTCTTGGGGTACTTTTTAATAAAACACGAATTATAAAAAAAAAATCTTAGAAATATTTCTATATTTACAAAAACTTTAGAATGTTTTTTATAAGAAAGTTTTAGTGCAATTTTATTTGATATTTCTAGATTTTTAAAAAATATTTCTTGTTTAAAATGAAATCGATTTCATAAAGTCGAATCAAATTATTACTGAAGTTTTTCAGTAATTATAAAATTAAGCATATAAATAACTCTTAATATAATTCAAACTAAAATAAAAGCAAACGATTAAATTATGTCAAAATAAGGTACTGCTGAAAATTTACAAGAGGGTAATTTATTACTGTCTTATTTATATAAACTTTATTGTACATTAACGTGCGAAATACTGAAAAATGGTCCTGCAAAAGTGAATTTTAACATTTTTACAGAATTAATGTTACTTTAATTTAAAATATCCTATTATTATTGTTATCTCGATGTATTTGTCACTAAAAATATACTTGTAAGATAAATAATTACACCATGAGTAGATCAGCTGGTTATGAAAAAGAACCTCATCATTTATAAAAGATTAGGAGATTGATTTATAAATTAAAAACTCACTGTTTAATTTAAATAACGCTATTTACTGTTTAAAAATTATTTATGGATCTACAGCATCATAGAGGAATCATTTCCTTCGACATCGCCCACTATAGGACTCTCTTACCTTCCCTCCAGAAGGAATTACCATTCCAGTAACAGATGACCCTCGCTCCAAGGGCAGGAGCCGCCGCCAAGAACAACAAGAACAGGAATCGCATCTTCCGCGAACTGAAGCTGAATCCTCTGCAGCCACAGCTTATAACCAAACCGAAGAAAGTGGGGATATTAGCAGTGCCAGGTTGGCAAAACTGCGGGGGGGCCTACCAACCCAACTGCGAAGGTATGGGAAAGTGGTCAATGGCCTCCAACCAGCAAATTCAATACAAGAATTGATAAACAAAAATCGATAATATTGTGATTAGGAATAAGTGTTCCATAATTGGGTATTCAAGTTTCGATCAATACTATGGTTAGTTAACTGATAAAAAATGTTTATAGAAATAATCTTTGTAATGTTTATATCTTGTTTTGCCATCATCTGGGATGTATTATAATAAACATAATTGCCTAAAAAAAATTATATTTATAAAACAAAAATGTTAAAAATAATGATTTTTCTATTATCCTTCATCAAAACAGAAAATGAAAATATGTTTTATACTAAGATCTCGATTAATAGAATTTATCCGTATTTACAAATGACAAATTAAATGTTTTTGATTCCAATATTTACGTTTTAATGAAAATAATCGAAGAAATCAGCAGGTTTCTTAATTTCAAATTATTCAATTTCAAAAAATTTTAGGGCTTGAAAACTATATTTTCTCGGTTATAAATACGGATCAACTCTTGTAATAGAGATCCCAGTACAAAATACATTTCATTATCAGTTTAGATGGTCATAGAAAAACAAGACATAAAAAAGATACCTACCCTTACCATGATTTCCCAGTTCTAAGTGAAACTCCTAGCTCAACACACCTGTAAGTCTCTATTTTTATTCTTCTAATTTTATTTACTTATTTTTTGGTTTTCTTTTCTTTCTCCACATTCCTTATGTATATTATTTCATATTATATCCTTTTTTTCTTTTCCTTCAATCTCTCCTATAGATGTGTAGAAGTATATTCACATTTGCATATATTATATATTACACTACAACAATTGTTACCATCTATTTACTTCAGTTTAGGATCTTGTTACTTAGTTTACTCTGTTTATATTTTAATGTACTTACTGTTTATAATTTTAATAAGGTTATTCACATTGTTTATAATATTTTGTCTTAATATTATGTAACTTCCACAATTCTCTATATATTTTTGTCTATATCTAGCCCTGAAGAAGACCTGCAAAGACGGGTCGAAACGTTGGCTTTTAATAAAATGGTTGTGCCAGTATTTAGCACTTTTATGACCGCCACCCCGGACCATATCCTTCCAAGATATAAAAAACTTTGCAACAATTTATTGTAGTAATTTTTTCTGAAAACATGGGTATTGGGTAACCTTGGGGAAAACATGGGTAAACAGGTGACAGGATATAAAATCGTTTCGTTTGAAGTAAATTTTGTCTAGTTTACTGTGAAGCAGTAGTAAATTAATTAAATTAAATATTTCTTTAGTTATCGCCTACTTTTTTTTCATACGATCTGATTCATATACAATCTCTAGAACTTTTCCGAAAACGATAATTTTAATTTTTACTTTTGAAATAAAATATCGATAATAGATAATATTGATGTAGATACTATCGATGGTAAAGTATCGAACATCGTAAGAATAATATCGATATTTTGAAATTGTCGATTATCTATGGCCATCCTCCCCGAGCTCGATGGATTATACACTTTACCAAAGAAATTTGATTCCTCTTCTCTTCGTAAAAATAGTACTAGCAAAAGTAGGATTAGAAACTTTGTTAACAATTCCAATTGCTGTGTCTGTTCCATGTTCCCCCTTGTTTTCTGGTTTGAAAGTTCCTTCATATTGAAACTTCTAAAAAATGTGTTCCTCTCCGAAAATTCATGACACTGTCAATATGTACTTTAAAGGCAGTCACTAATGATTTTCAATCTTATTGTTAATGATTTTCAATCTTATTATTCAATGCAAGTTGATCAGCAATATTTTTTTTTAAATAAACTAATATTATTCTATTTACGGGTTACTTTCAGAGATGCCCATTCTCCCCTTAGTCGATGATGCATGAACATACCCTCCAGACATTATATTATATTGCTTTTCTCTTCATAAAAACAGTGCAAGCGAAAGTAGAATTTAAAAAATCGTAGATAATATACAATTACAATTTTGCTGTCTATTCAATGTTTTCCCCTTTTAGCCTGGTTTGAAACGTCCCATTCTAAAAATTCATGACCTCATCAACATATGTTCGCTTCATAATTTTTTAAGTGTGCCTCTTCTCAAACATTTTCTTTATGAATATCTATATCCTACACTGATTTCTTGGCATTTGTTAAGTACATTACAAATAATATAACGAACTTAAAATTGATGTTATCCATTTAAAACATACCCTCTGTCACTCTTAAAATTTTAGGGGATTTTTCATTTATAACGGTGAGTAGATTCTTCAAAAAAATGTAATTCAATCGATTTTGATATTTTGTACAAGAACGATCCTTATTAAACTAAAAACATTAATAAATTATGTGCCTAGTCCCCTGTTTTATGTAATAATAAGTTTTATGTTTTATAAAAGGGAGTAGAGAATTACTTGATTTCCGGTATTAGAATGCAAAATTATTTTGGGGGGGAATTAACACGATGAAGATGGGCTCTATATTTTAAAACCAAGTGTTTTAATGACTCAATACAAACTTTATTAATTACATAATGAATACCTATAATTATCGGCATCGAACCTTCGCTAAGCCTTTTTTATTATTATACATATAATTAATCATAATTCTTCCAATAAATATTTGTAAAGAAACGAATTACGCTAATGAAATTGTTGTTTCTCAACTCATAACTATTTCCCTTATTTGAATTCGAAATCGCTAATTTTTAGCTTCAGGAAGCTGTCGAACCAAAAAAAAGAAGTTTGAGTTACGTGTGCAATGTTTCCTTTACTTCTTGTAAACTCCAGTGATGATTCACTTAAATCATGCTTTATATATATATATATATATTAGAAAAACCACATAAAAGATTTCAATAAACAGATTATATTCCATAGTTTTTAAATTTTAATTTCTATTCACACTTGAGTGTATGGCTCAAGATTAGTTTAACAAAAATCTAATGACCTTTTGACAATTATTTACTGTACAGTAAATTATTATAAGAAGTTAATTTTATTAAACTGACCTTGAGCCATAGAATAGAATAGAAAAATAATTTTATTCTGGGACACAATACCTTGAGAATAACAAAATAGAACAAAATTAAATTTTATTTTATTGATTTTATTTTGGCCAGATGTAATATTTTAATTTTGTTCTATTTTGTTATTCTCAAGGTATTGTGTCCCAGAATAAAATTATTTTTCTATTCTATTCTATGGCTCAAGGTCAGTTTAATAAAATTAACTTCTTATAATAATTTACTGTACAGTAAATAATTGTCAAAAGGTCATTAGATTTTTGTTAAACTAATCTTGAGCCATACACTCAAGTGTGAATAGAAATTAAAATTTAAAAACTATGGAATATAATCTGTTTATTGAAATCTTTTATATGGTTTTTCTACAAAATCTTTAGCTGATTGATTAATGTTTTGAATAATGTTTAATGTATCTGTGCAAATAGAGAATAAAAAAAAACTAAAAAAGAAAGAATATATATATATATATATATATATATATATATATATATATATATATATATATTATACACATATATATGTATATATAAAGCATGATTTAAGTGAATCATCACTGGAGTTTACAAGAAGTAAAGGAAACATTGCACACATAACTCAAACTTCTTTTTTTTGTTTCGACAGCTTCCTGAAGCTAAAAATTAGCGATTTCGAATTCAAATAAGGGAAATAGTTATGAGTTGAGAAACAACAATTTAATTAGCGTAATTTAGTAAGTTCAATAATTATTGAATGAATAAATAAGAATGGATGAACGTTTTGATGATTTTAGCGGAATAACCTTGAACATTGTTAAAAACATCGTCAGCCAGAGTGACACCACCTCCAAAACAAGTATAAACCGTTTTAATTGAGTATTATTTTATCTTCGTCTATTATTATGCATAATTTATTATATTTTTTTCTCTTCGATAGCACAGCCGGATCTACAGGGGGAGGGCTTTCGGGCTGAAGTCTCCCCCCCAAAATGGTAAAGTGTAACCATGTTTCAGTAGCCGATCCAGGATTTAATTTTTGGGGAGGGGGCTTCAGCCCGAAAGTTTTTTTTTTCTTGTACAAATAACGATAATTAATTTGAAAAAAAAAAGAAAGAAATTAACTACTTACATGAAATGGTGTTTAAGTAGTTCTTGAAGTCCTATTAAATGTAATTCCAGTAACAAGAATACTTTAAGAGGTAGTTTTTAATAATTTTTTCTGTAAAACATGTTTTACACAAAAATATATTTTAACATTTTGGGGGGCTTCAGCCCGAAAGCCCTCCTCCCCCCCACTGTAGATTCACCTGTGTCATGTTTTATGGTAAACAATATTTTAAAAATATCTCTTGAAGTATTGTTCGTGTAATTACATTCAATAGGATTTCAAAAATCACATAAACACCATTTCATAAATGTAGATAGTATCATTCTTTTTTTCTTAGAGTACTTTTCGTTATATATATATATATATGTGTGTGTGTGTGAAAAAAAAATCTTTCGGACTGAAGCCTCCCCCCAAAATGAAACCCTGGGTCCACTAGTGTTCGATAGTCTACACATGCTCGAATTTACTGTTTAAACAAAAAATATATCTCGATTTAATGAAAATTCGGTTTTATCTATATTTATTTTTAACGTTTGTTATTCTCTCCTAAAAATTTATGATTTTACATCATTAACTCCAATGCATGCATCTTTTCTCGACACCAATGACTACAGACTCTGTGGTTCAAAGTGGCCGTTCAAAATGGGAGGATATCATAATTGAAATGTTGAAATATAGGTTGTTAAAATTTTGATTAATATACTTTGTATTTTAGTTAATACGTGATCGTTTCATCTTGAATTCAGTAATTTTCAACATGCAACGTTAACCTTATTTTAATTTTGTATCTGATTCAATAAAATAATAAATAC